CTTCATTGAAAATATTTCTATGACTAACCCCAAATCACTTTCCTAACTTACCTTATTCTCTTGTGCTGAACGTAATATTTCCAAGTCACATTCACGTTACATTATGTTCCAAATATTCAAGTAACCAAGACAGGTCAACTCTGGGAGTGATTTTTACAGACATTACCTGGTCAATTGATAAGCTTTTATAGCATATAAGGGTGTGAGTGAGCAGCACAGAGGACTTGATTGTTAATACAAATGACAAACTCCATGACACTCACTGCAAATGACTTTTCAAAATACTGACTTTATCAAACATGCTGGACATTAGCTAGTAAAGATGGTTAATGTTCAGATGACCTCTAACCAAACTTCCTATTAGCCATGATTTAACTGTATTGTACAGGCGAGCATATTTTCATCACCGTGAAATTATAGGAACCCACAGAAACTCCAACATGCTTTATATCCAGTGTGTACTGAGTAAACACTGATGATCATTTGTTACTTAAAATGCTAGTTAATAAAACGGAAAAATGTATCTTAATTCTGGAAAAGAATAATTATTATTAACAGTAGATTGTCATCTGCTTCCCATCTGTGCTAATCTCAAGTATCCTTGGAGTGGCAAAGTCACTGTTATTACGGTCAAGGAAAATGAACTGTGTTTATGCTAGTTATTTCATTCTGCATTTGGTAGGAAGAGGGTGAGGCCTATGAACCTTCCTGAAACAGTATATAGAGAGACAACATATACACTGAATTCATTTCTGGCTTCACCAAAATTTTAAAGTATATAATACAATAGAGGACAAGACCATTGTCTCTTGGGACCTGAAACATCACCTTGGATCTTGGCACTAATATGAATAATTTCATTGATGAGGTATAGGAATTTAATAACACTGAAATGCAATAGACTGTGAACATCATCAGAACTCTAAATCCTACAGAATGAAAGCTTTAAAAGGATAAATGATAATTAGATACATACAATTTAATAAGAATTCAGCAATTTTACAATTAAGGGCCTTGTGCCAGCTCTGTGGCACAATGGTAATGTGCTATTCAAGAGAAGCTGGATCCCACATGGTGACCATGGCTTGAATCCCCAGTCCAGTCAGCCTAAAGCACACCAGGCATGTGAGTGAGTGCCCAAGATCTAAAGGGCTGGAGAAAAGGGATTGTGGCATGGCCAGACTCTGTGAACAGTGATCATCTCTCTCTCTTTCTCTCTCACATAGACACACACATGCTATCATGAATAAAGGGGAAAAATTATTAGAGTTCTATGTTTTTTAATCAGGAATCATCTGTGCACAAAAAAAGGATAAATGTTTTCTATAGAATCATTAATTTTAACTAATGATTTTGGCTACTTCCTACTTATGGGCAAACATGGTAGAATTAGCTAATAATATATCTTATATAAAATAAAAACTTTTTATGCTGGTTAAGCCTCATTCTAACTATTTTCAGAATATGGGAAAATTATAGCAATACCTCTGTCAATTTTGACCAAAAATAAAGCTAGTTTCTGCATTACAACGTATAAGAGAAAGAGGGGAGAGTAGAAAGAAGTTACAAAATACCGAGAGGAAACAATCTAACATGAAATGGTGGAACTCTGACTGGAGAATTGTGTGGGGCTCTCAAAAAGCCAATGTCATGGCGTGGTGGTTAAGGGTGCTGGCCTCTCCCACATGGCTAACCATGGTTTGACTCCCAGACCTGGCAGCTTGCTTTTTAATTTTCTCTCTCTCTTTCTCTGTCCCTCTGTGGTCAAATTAAAATAAGTAAATTAATACATAAAGTTGAATAAAATCATTAAAAAAAAAGTCAGGACCAGCAGTTGGCATAATGGCTATGTTGCTGGACTCCCATGTAGTTGGCCAGGGTCTGAGTCCCAGACCTGGTGGCTTAAATTCTCACCGAGTGTGTGTGCGTGCGTGCCCAAGATCCCGAGAGGAGAATGGAGGAGAAGGGATTGCAGCGTGGCCATTCTCCCTGGGGGGTGATTTCTCACTTTATGTCTCTCTCTGTCTTTCTGGTGAGTGCATGTGCCCTATAGCAAACCCCCCCACCCCCGATGAAAGTCAATGTCATTAAAAAAGAAATGGAGAGCTGTTCTACTCTAAAAGTGACTATAGAGACCTCATCAAATGTACTGTCTGAACCCAGATTGGATTTTTGTTTTAAAAAAGCTATAAAAGGGGATAACAGGTGGCATGGTGGTTAAGGTGCTGCATTCCCACATGGCCATCCACAGTTCGAGTCCTGGACCTGGTGGCTTGAAAAATCAAGCCAGGTGCATGTGTGTGCATGCCCAACGTCCCAGGAAGAGAAGGGATTGTGACCTGGCCACCTCCCACCCCAGGGGGTAATTTCTTACTTTCCCCCTTTCCCTCCCTCCCTCCTTCCCTCCCTTCCTCTCTCTCTTTCTCTCTCTGGTGAATACACATGCCTTATGATAAAAATGTTTTCAAAAAAGCCATAAAAGAAATTGTTGGGATAACTGGAGAAACCTGCATATGGACTGGATGTGAGGATACAGGCTGAACATACCTAATCTGAAAATGTGAACTCTTAAATGCTCTAAAACTTGAGACATTTTGAACAGCAAAGATGAAAATTGCACACCTGATCTCATATAATGGGTCCCAGTCAAAATGCTGCAATACAAAAATAGTATATAAAATTATCTTAGGGTACTATGTGTATAAAGTACATATAAAACACAATTAAGTTTTTGCTTAACCTCGGGCTCCATCTCCAAAATATCTCATTATGTGCATGCAGATACTCTAAAATCCAAATCTCTCTCTCTAAAATCTCTCTCTCTCTGGGCAAATTAAACTAAAATAAATTAATAAATAACATTAAAATAGATCATTCTTTAAAGAAAGGTGAAATACTAAATCTGAATGACAGGAATATGGTGGAGGAAGGAAAACAAGTATCACGGGAGATGGCAGGATATGAATCTGTGAAGAAAACAACTCTCTCAAACAGAGGTAATCTACTCAATCATGAGGGCTCTAGGGAAACGAGCATAATTCCCAGAAAGAATGCTGAGATTGGACTCAAGTGTTTTAATGTGCTGTCTGAGTCACAGCTAGAACCACTCCATGGCAACGGAACAGACCACACTTAGACAAAGCAGTAGCCTGCTGGTCCAGCCCTCCCCGCCAGATGACACTGTCACTTACTCTGGCTAGGCCAAAAGGATTGATGTGAATATTAATGGCACCTGTAACGTATAGCTGTTGTGTCACCTAATTTTCTTTGGTAAAAGACCAAAAATATACTCTTGTAGCCCAGGGAGGTCTATAAAACCAACACAATTTCATTTAGAAGTAAAATTCTTAATAGGAAGAATATGTTACTAAATCAATTTATGTTACGAAAGATAATAAGCATTTCCTTCATAAGAACATTAATATCATGGCTGGTTTAGGGAAGGGGTGGAGAAATGATGCCCCTTTCCTTTCTTAAGTGACTCACATTAAATAGGTATTAAACCCCAATGTATGCACCCTATAGCAAAAATCTCTCAAAAATATTTTTTAAAATGATTTATTTTTATTTATTCATTTATTTAATTTACTCCCTATAAGTCATGTGCACTCACCAGAGAGAGACAGATAGAGACGAAGGGGGTTGGGGGGGGAGTGAAAAGGCAAGCTGCCAGGTCTGAGACTCAAACCATGATGGGCCAAGTGAGACTCCAATGCCCCAACCACCATGCCATTTGCTGGCCCCCATTCTAATGTTCTTTCATTCACCAAATATTTATGAAACCTTAGTACATTTTTTTTAGAATTATTTTTATTTAACTTTATTAATTAATTTATTTATTTGACCAGAGAGGGACAGACTGGGAGAGGGGGGAGGGAGGGAAGTGAGAAAGAAAGCCGCCAGGTTCAGGACTCAAACCAGTCGACCATGTGGAAGTCCAGCGCTCTTAATCATTAGGCCACCTGCTGGCCCCAATGTACATTATTATTATGTGGGATGCAGACAGAATTCCTGGGCCTCACATCCTTTGATGCTCATTCCACTGCCAGAGATGGAGTGGAGAGGAGCCTATATTTGCAATAAGTACCCCTGTGGATTCAGCAGGTACCCCAAGGTTATTTTACACATCTATTCGGGCGTTGGAAAAGTCATGATGTATTTATGCATAGACAAACATAGAAAAATTTATCATAGGGGCCAGCAGATGGTGTAGTGGTTACTTCACTGAACACCACATGGCCAACTACATTTTGAGTCCCAGAGCCGGTGGCTTGAAAATCACGCCAGGCATGTGTGCATGCGTGTGTGCCTAAGACCCCAGGGGGAGAATGGAGGAGAAGGGACTGTAGTGTGGCCATCCCCGCTAAGGGGGCAATTTCTCACTTTCCCTCTCACTGTCTCTCTCTCTCCCCCGGGTGAGCATGTGCACCCTAAGGCAACAAACTTCTTAAAAAACGCGTCATGACTTTTCCAACAACTGAATACTTCCATATTCAGTGAAGTTTGACTTTGATGAGTACACTGAGGAGTACTGGACTGGGAGTCAAGCAATCTGGGTGACAGGTTTGTCACTAACTTGTTCAACCTTGGACAGGTTAATGTCTCTGTGCCTCAGTTTTCTCATATGCTTAATGAGGGTGACACTGCCTGCCCCATTTACCATAGCTCACATACACTAACTTATATAATAGTGGCTTGAGAGTATGAAGGCCTTAACAAATAAGTACTCTATCTTTGAGAAGGGAGCCTTTAATCTTATTCAGTGAGCTTAGTACTATCTATTATATTGCCGACAAGAGCCAACTACAGCTCAGCCTCTCTTCTTCCCGCTTAAGGCTTAATCTAATCAAAGTCATGCTAGAGGAAAGGGACGTTCTTCTTAATCACTTGACAGTCCTCCTGCCCAGAGAAAGAGAGAAAGCACAGAGGTAATAGGGACATCACTTAAGGATTGTGAAAAGCACATGTAAAGAAGGTTTATGTGTTAGGCTATTTCTTACCAAGTCTATGAGTTTGGTAACAGGAACTTCTCGGATTGGTCTTTTCATTCGGCACAGAGCCTCTAAGGATGTACCAAAACAACTTGGGAGGTAATTCCCACTGATGGTCAAGAAGTAATCTTTGCCTCGATCCAGGTGAAGGACGAGAATGTCTTCAATCTTATCTTCCCCTGAGTTCAGGATGGTCACAGAATCTTTGCTGACATATACATCAAGAGAAATGTCCACTGTCTCATCTGAAATGTAAGAGATGATACGCAGTAATAGAGAAATCACCCATGGAAAAGCAAGAAGAGCGTAAGAATTGACAGAACAAGTATCGTCTAAAAAAAATCATCAAGCAACAGCAGGGAAGAGACTGGACACATAAAAGAGGTATACCCGATACACTGAAGGGAAGGTAAGAGACATGTGGTTAGAAAATAAGCAGTTAAACCAAGGGGATGGAAGTCAGGGGGAGATGGTACATCGCAGGCAGAGGCAACAGTAAAGGAAAAACTCACTTGGCTCCAAGTAGCCCTCAAAAGGTTCAGCCCGAAGCCATGGCTTGCAGTACTGGGTGTCATTAAGTTTAGGGATGAAAGAAAAATGGCAGGGAACCTGTCCGTTGTTGCTGATCTGGAACTTCTCCTTCTGTAGTTGCCGAAACTTCACATTCTCAAACACAAACTGGGGAGTAACAGACAGACACGAACATGCATCACTAGTAGGGGAAGTCAGTCAGTTGGATTATTCAATAGAGAATATGAATAAAGAATAAGGTGATTATTAACCAGATGTGCAACTGCTATATGCATTCAACAACTGCGCCAGCTTCACACCATCCGCTTTCATGTATTATTCCCGCACCAGCAGAGAAGGAGTTAGGTGGCTCTTGCTATTTCTCTAGGCTACCCCTGATTGGTCCTAGGATCCTGAAAGGGTTCAGGGCATTCATCCTGTGACCAAGCCCTGGCCTCTGAGATAAGAATTAATCAGCAAGTTTTAAATATTAAGTAAAAGCAGCTACCATGTGAGGGTTTAGTGTGTGCCAGGTGCTGTCCTAAGAGCTTTGCCTGTATTAACACATCATCCTTACAAGCACCCTTTACTCCAAAAAAGACCCCGCAGCTAGGTCTAAGAGGGTAAGGTGCTCGCTTGCAGCCAGATATCCAGTATGTGGTAGTGCTGGGACTAGACTGGAGGCAGTTTGACCCCCAGCATCGGTGCATTAACCACCTTGTTATGTTGCCTTTCCAAGTTACATGGTTCCTCTCACGACAAGGAATAGACAAGAGGCCTTGGACTTTCGCTCACCTCCCTCCTGCTGAGTTCTAAGGAAGGAAGGAAGTCATTTTCCATTCTGTCCATGATGCGTACAATATCTTCAAAAACTTTCCGATACCTCCGTTCATCCACAACCTTCACCTGAAAGAAAATGAACCCTCTTCACTCTTATATGCTTCTTCCTCTGAGATTATCTAACAATTTTAACTATTACTGTAATCGATAATATAAACTACTGCAAACAACACCCTTGAACACTTTCTGATCTCTCCCTTCATCCACACCCTTCACCTGAAAGAAAACAGATCCCCATTTCAGTCTCAACTTGTATGCACCTCCAGTGTCTAAAATGTTTTAAGAGGTCACTAAAGTAAGCGGACGGTATGCATTGTAAAAAGCACACACTTAAGGTAAAGGCAGGGTTAATTGGCTAACTTCCTAGGAAACTTAAACATCTATGATAAGCAGCTTGGCAATAATAAAAATTTGGGTAGAATATTTTCTTGCTCCATTGTTATTTAGTCACAGAGAAATTGTGATGATCGTAGTAAAATGATTTCTTGCATTGTATAAAATAATAGTGTCAAAACATTCCCATTACTGTTTGTAGCAACCATCATAAAGCAGTGAAACAAGAAAATCTGATGAAAGCATTTTAATTCTATTAGCTGCTATGCACAATGCCAAGAATCATAAAATCCCTGCTCAGATTTTAGAATGGCAAAGGTCTGTCAGTAAATGGAACCTATGGCCATCTTAGAAAACGAAATATACTGACACGAAATCTACTAGATAAGAGTAAAGCCATGACAACAGACCAACAAATCATCTCAACTATTAATCAAAAACACTTCCCACCTGACACAGCACTTTCAGCTTCCTGATATAGCTGCCTTTTTTTTTTTAAATGACAGAGTATACGTATCAGAAAGAGACAGAGAAGCACCTTTGACAGAATCACATCACACCAAGATCCACTTCCCCCAGTCCTCCAGCCCATCGGGATCCTGGGAGCCGACACGTGTGCTGTCCCTCAGGCTGACCCATGGATCCAAACTGGCAGTTGGCCATGTGCCCTACAGTCTTGGAGGGCACTTGCATTATTGCTGTGCTACAGTGTCTGGGCCAGCTATGTGTGTTTTTTTAATATATATATATATTAAAACTTCATACAAACGAATGCCACAACTTAATATAATTAATACACCATTTTTTTAGGAATTATTTTATTTATTTATTTTTTAAATTTGCTATAGGGCACATGTGCTCACCTAAGAGAGGTGGGGGGGGAGAGAGAGAAGGAGAAAAAGGAGAAGGAGAGACAAAGTAAGCTGCCAGGTCCCGGACTC